AGGGGGAAGAGTGGTCTAGAAAACGCATGATATGGGAGAGAGAGGGGGGGGGGAACTCACGTTTATCAATCATGACCACAGCAGGTGACGGTGGAGCGGGAAAATCGTACCGTTCAATTGCAGGTAGACTGGTGGAATCGGGCAGTCGAGCATTTGGATAACAAGCTAACCGACGAGCTTCAGCCCAATATTCCGCGGCGGAATCGGGGCTCAGCGAACGATCGGGACGCGGACGAGGTCGCACAAGTGATTCGGCTAGATGAATCAGTTATAAAAGGGAAACAAAAATGAAAAATGATCGAACAGATATTACTCATTCAAAAACGACGACAGCAGTAGAAACCGGAAAACAGGAATGAAATCACCAAAGAAACAAAATGAAATAAGTTAAGAATTGTGAATTGCACGGAAGAACGCAGAGTTGTTGATTCTGTTAGGTATACTTCTGTCAGTCTGAGTCTGTCTACGTAACTCATTATAAGGCAGCCAAAGCACACCCATATATAATTTGTACGAGTCAGAGGTCTGAGTTGCCAAATATGAACAAACTTCAGTCAGATTGATGTGAAACACGGACAGGATAGAAACGACGGACCCACAAAAGATGTGATGAACAGAGAGGAAAGGAACATTTGTCATTCTCAGAGCAAAGACCGGAAAATGATAACCTTTCTTAATCGTATCGATATTAGAAGTATTGATGGAGTTCATCCCCACCTGAGCGGTCTGCTCCTGTCCAGGTACACGAGGGTGTGTGCGTGCCTGCACAATTTTCGCTGAGCGAAAAATAACAACGGTAAATTCCAACAGTACAGCAAAACTTTAGAGTAGAGACAAAACTAGGATTGTAATCTGAGCGCATTCGACGCATAGTGTTTCCCTCAGATGATATGCGTCGATACTCTCGATCAGCGACGAGACATGCCAACAACCCGTGTCTGTCCGCGTCTGGTTCTCGTGTCGTACCTACTGTTGCAAACAAAAGATGAGTCACCACCTGTGACTGGGACAGACCACGCCTGCAGCTGTGACGATCACGAATGTGAAACTGAACAGGGGGAAATCGATGGGGGAGAGAAGATGAGTACACAGGACTCTGTGGGGAGGAGGATAGACGCAGGATTCAGTGCCTATGACGTCCAGTAAGTACGACTTTAATAGTGAAGTGTTGTTCTGAAAGACCAACAAAACTGCTTTGTTGCTTCGTTCGGTCTAAGAGACGATTCAAATCTGTGTGGGCAATCGCGATAACGTCACATAAATGATGAGCGAAATACTTAGACAAGAAAACAATATCTGCCAACCGGGTCAATCAAAAGCGTAATCAGTTAATCGAACGTTCATTACTGTGCACAATGAGGAATATTAGAATCGCTAATCAGGCTTCTGTTTATGGAAACAAATAAGCGTCACACGAACAGACCGGAAACAATTCGCAAAGTTGACATGAATCCGTACGCGATCGATAAACCGAGAATTGGAAAAAACGCCATAAAGGAAAGATCTGAAGAGAAAAACAGGTGAGATCCGTGACTGGCCTCTAACAGGTTGTCATGGTTACAGTTAGCAACAGAAACCCCAACTGTCAGTCAGGGCGAGCAAAAGCAACTGAACGATTCAAGAAACGATACGGACTACGCATGCCTCAAGCTTTCAAATCTCATCACAGAGAATATGAGACCGTTTCTTTTGAAGAAGCAGAATGAAAGACGTTTAGACGACGTACGAACAGGCCAGTGACGAGTGACAGTAACAGCCCACAAGAGTTAGAAAAACCTAAAGCGGATTCTACAAGTGCATTCGCAATGCTTCCAGTTTAGATTTAATTTTATATGCTAAGCGATTAGCTTACGAAAGTAGCACATAGCTCACGATTTTCAACGGTAACCAGAGCAACAAACCTTCCTTGACTGATCCAATCAAAGTCGACGGATTAAACCTGCAATCTCGACCAGACAAGCACAATCCACTATTACACGGATTCGACTTCATGCACTCAGTCCGGAACTGTGACATGTCCACCAGCACATGTGCTTAGTCCAACAAAAGTTAAATCGTTTCCCCAACTTTACTCATTCTCCTAATCCAAAACAGTTCCGACAGTGCAAGTGCGATTCTCTTTTGGGTTTTATAACCACCTACGTGCACTCAGGACCGATGTTCGAGGTAAACTGTGCAAATGGCTGTCAAATGACCCACATCTTTCCATCACTGGAACGTCGAAATCCCCAATCGCCTTGTGCACAAAAGAGCACACACAAATACACACACACACACACACACACAGAAGCCACTGATTTAAAATGGGCTGGAGGAGGATGGTGATACAGACCTAACGTTTGTGAACGACTCTTCCACCTTTTTAAATGAGAATCAAAGAGGGCAGTTGTGGTGTCTTTCTTCAAATAAAGTACAATTCATGTGGTGTGTGTGTGTGTGTGTGTGTGTGTGTGTGTGTGTGTGTGTGCGAATGTACGTACGAGAAAGAGCGCAACAGAGATTCAATTTGGCCCGTTTCTTTAAACAAGATCGGAGATGCACCTGCGGAGCGCAGGACGAACGGATCAGGATGTCAGATAAGCGGAGCATGAACGTTTGAATGCGGTCTGGACCCACTTCATTTTTCGTTTGACCAGATCGGATAAACCAAGCGGATAATTGTTCCAGTTTACTGTCTAAGCGGTTAAGAAATAAGTAAAATGCGTACCTACTTGCGAAAAGGTAGAGTCAAATGATTACATTGTGCAAGGCAGCCAACTGATAAACTTTGCGCACGTTAACGAAATCTATCAAGTATGAACAACAACAACAACAACAATAACGGAAAGCTACCTTCAAAAGCGTAAGCTCGTGCATGAAACTCATAAAACAGAATACAATAGGTCCAAGAAGGAAGCGTTATACAAGATCATGTTGAGGGATACGTAGCAGGTGTTGTGAAAGCAACTGGATAGCATTATCACGAATCCGGCGAGTAAAGCAATCTTTCAGTTGAAAGTGAGCCATACAATTCAAAGGAATACGGTCCCGGTGTAGTGGAGACACGGGCGCAGCCGTTTTGATTTAATTGAGTGGTGTGCATGTATCACTGGACCTTTTGGTTCATGGTTGCATTTTGTATTTCCCCTATCTTGCAGTTTGCTCGGAAGCTCCCTCCACGGAGAACCTACTGTGAGAGGTATGTCTTAGCTGTGTATTGAGAGCGTCCGTGAGTGACCAGGAACTGTGCAGTCTTTTTAGGACAATGCTAAAAGACCCCGGATTGCGTAGTCCGGAGTCAACATGCCAGTATTTCGAGTGGACTCAGAACTGGGGTCGGTCCTGAATACTACACTAGGTCACAATATTAGCGATGTTCGATGTTCCGTTCGTTCTTACGGTACGCTAAAATAACTAATCAAACTGTCCCATACCCTAAACAACGTAATCTATAGAGGTCGAACATTTGCTTCAGTTTGTCAACCGCGATTAGGTGCAGAGTTTTAGGTAACCGCTGTCGCCCCCTGAAGCAAGTGGTCGACTTACATAGATTAGGTTGGTCGGGGCATGTGTTACGCATTCCACCAGATAGGTTGCCAAGGCGAGCAATATTCGCCGAGGCAAGTAGCGGGTGGTAGAAAGCCAAGGGTGATCAAGTTAAGACCTGGCATGAGGGTATGAAAGCCCTAACCAGGCGTCTGGATCACACAGATCCCGTTAGGCTCCCTGGATGGGGTCCTCGGGATGATCGTAACCGACGGTTAGAGACACTGAGCGATATGGTTGAGTGTCGTAAACAGTGACGTTCGTGCATCCAGTCAATTTTTCTGCAACATTATTGCAATGAAATTCTAAATTTTCTTTTTGATCCTACTTTCAACCTTTCCTGTCTTTCTCCGAATGCACAACCAAATGGGCAGTCAAGAGACAGCAACCAAAACCGGTTCACGATGGTGTATGTATGTAATGGTTGTACAAACTGAACTGAACTGAAACTGTCTCATAGTCTTTGGTAACCACAGCAACTTCAAGCGGCCTTGATCATTATCACGTTATCCCTGAGATTGTACGCATTTTCTCGTTTTTAATTGCATACCACGGGATTCTTTCGATTGTCTTGATACCTTTTCCAAAACATTATATGTACCACTATGTAGTTGAAGCAAGGAAGTCAAATAATAAAAGAGTAATCAGTAACTGTCCTGACAATCAAGCTGATACAACATTTATTCATTCCTCTACGATTTTGTATAACTCACTGAACTTAATTAAGGTTTCTGTGCATACACAATGGTAGACACACAGAGATTATCACACTGAGTGCCTGATGTGACTTGGCACGTACAGAATTAAACTTTATCCTGAAAAGAATGCCTAAAATAGATCACCATATATGGACGTGATCGGGTCTGAAATCAACCAATTTTTTGAATTTCCCCTATCTAGGAGACAGAAAACTTGCATATAGAATCACACAGAGCCTGGATCGATAAAGAAAGATAAATCACCGGAGTTGGTGAAAACTTTGACAAACGAATTTGAGAAAACGAATCTTAGCTGAGCGGGAAAGAGAAAAATTGAATCAGTTGAGTAAACAGTTGATCATTTTTGGAAGTACAGATTATAAAAGTGAAGATGTTCATCACTTGTCCCGGAAAAACTTCTGTCCTATGGGTAGACTGACAATGCCAAGGACATGCATTCTCTTTTGTGGATTGAGCCTTGAAATACTCTTATTCTAAAGCCACCGAGAAACCGGTGGTTCCCTGAGGATTGCAATGATGAACCATCTAAGACCCTGTTAGGACCCAGTTAGCATAGTGCAAAGTGGGTGTATCAAGCTGTCTCTCATCAAAATTGCTTGTCGATGAAATCAATGAGGAAAAGGAGGCAACTAACGATAGGATCCGGATGAGGTATTGAAACCGTTCAGCGTGTTGGTCGAGAAACCTGGATTCATCCAGAACAAGTTGACTGGACCCAACAATCAAATGTTTCAACTCGATGTTGGAGTGAATATGTTGAAAGCACAATCAAATCAGATTCACACGCGCATCATCAGACGGGCTTGTGTTAATCTGCCGATAAGTAGCTTCGCTGTGATCCGACTCAATGCCGGTATTCACATTCGAATGAGATTTGTATTCGTCTGATTTACCGCAACGGTTATGCCAAAGTGAGCCCTCCCAGTATAAAGCACTATATTTCCCCAGACAGTTATTTGAAGCGAAAACGTTTTTTATATTCAGCCAAAGTTGACGGA